TAGTCCGAAAACAAAACAAAAAACAAACGAAAAAGAAGATAAACCAAAAGCCAATAGGCTAATATCAAAACACTAGACACTTCAGTGGTACAACGGTGAGGTTTCTGTACACATCAAAACCACTGTAAGAGCGGGACCTAAACTACAACAATTAAAGCTGAAAATGGGTCTATTTAAAGATGAGCTGGAGTGAGGGGAACATGGGGACATTGGTGAAGAGATGATAACAATGGTGATGTGACCGAAGTTGGAATTCTATATGCCTGAAACTATTATTGATAGTTTTGAAAATCATAAATAAAAAAATAATTTTGAAATAAATATGCTTTATTAAAAACACCATTCCTTATTGCTTATTATCAAGAAATGCAAAATCAATGAGATTTTACCTCACATCAATGAGCTGGCATTTATTCTAAAAGCCTGAAGTAGTAAGTGCAGGTGGAAAGAGCAGATCAAAATAAACCCTCAATTCACTGTTCATAGGCATATAAACTGATCCAGCATCTACAGAAAATACTATGATGATTTCTCAAAAAATTAAAAATATAACTATCAGAATAGAACATTATCCAATAATTCTACTTCTATGTATTTATCAAAAGAAAAAACCACTAATTTTTAAAGATATATATATATATACACCTATATTTGTTGTATCACTATATACAGCAGTCAAGAAACAGAAACAACCAGGAGCCCAAGGACAGATGAGTAAATAAAAGGCAATGAAAACTGATGTTATGCATAAAACCTAAAATAATTTTTTAAGGATTTGAACTAGAAAATTTAAAAAAAAAGAAAAGAAAAAAAGATATGCTACATATATACAATGGAATACTACACTACTACTACATACTACTACAACTATTAGAAAAGATAAAAATCTTGCCTTTTGCTACATGAATGTACATGATAAGCAAAGGAGATCAGAAGAAAAAGACAAATATCAGATAATCTCTCTCATATGCTGTGGTATAAAAAGAAACAAAGCAAGGGAAAACAATATCAAATGAAAACTAACCCATAGACTATGACCACTGAAATAAGGTTACCAAGGTTGGATGGGGAAGGAGCTGAAAAAAACTCAATGGAATATGATGAAAAGATATTTCCACTTTGGTGATAGTAAGATGTGGTAACGCTGTAATATATAAACATTCAGTGTCTATAACACACTCAGAAAGAAAGACTTTTAAAAGCAGTATGTCTGAGAGCTGTTCAAAGGCAAGTCTGATAAGAAAAAAGAAACTGTGAGAAGGTCTCAATTGGAGATCTACTTTTCAAGGCAAAATATTTAGGGTTATGCTCACACACACAAAAGTTAACAAAAGTTACCAAGCCTGTGTCAGGTTTTTCCTTCCTGCAAAACACCTAATAATCATCAGTCAAAAAGTATTACAATGTGGGGGTATGGTGCCACCAGCAGCTCAACCTGTACCTGCAGGGTGAGAGCATCAGCAGCCTAATGGTGCCTTCAGGCTTCCTGATACCCCAAAATTGCCGATGTGCCTTTGGCCAGACCCCAACAACTTGGGCCAAGTTTACAAAGAAATTAAATGGCCAAAAGTTAGGTTTGTGGGAGCCATGCCCACAAACCATCTTCAGTTAGCTATACAAGCTCACTTGTTGGCCTTATTTCAGAGACCCAAAGATAAATCTTGGGAGAGCTCAAAGATGCAGTTAATCTCGGATGCACGCATGGATGAACAGACTGGAGTAAATTGGGGGGTGGGTTGGGCTGGCGCAGGCCCAGGCAGAGCCCATGGCGGGTACTGGCTTCCACAATCCGAAATTGCCACCATACTACCAGCCTGACTCCACTGTCTCAGGATGGATTTCACAAAGACATAATCTACTGATAATTAGGGCATGTGGGTTTTATGACTAAAATCTCCACGCTTCCTTGAAGGTGGGGTGGGCTACATCCCCCGCTTCCCAACATTCCTGGAAGCACTGGCAATCACCCCCATGAACCAATTCCAGCACTACCATGTAAGCTCTACTATTGACCTTGTTTCAGAGACCCATAAATAAATCTTGAAAGAAATCAAAAGCCACAGTTAATCTCATAACCGCACATGACTGAACAGACCGGGATAAATCAGAGGGGGTGGGTTAGTCTAGGCCTAACACAAGCAGAGTCCCTGACAGCCACTTGTTTCCATAATCCAAAATTGCCGCCATACCCCCCGGCCTGACTCCATCATCTCAGGACGGACCTCACCAAGATATAAACTGCTAAAAATTTGGGTATGTGGGTTTTGTGAAGGATGGGTGCTGGATCATTGTATGACTGAAACACAATTATGAACAGCTTTGTAATGGTCTATCTCACAGATATTCAATTAAAATTTTTCAACTAAAAAAAAAGTAATGTGGAGTTCATACCCAACTCAATCAGCTTTATCAATGGCTGAATAAATAGCAGTACTCCTACTTTAAAAAAATGTATCATGATGCATGATGTAACTCTGTAACATGTCATTCATTTTAGTCTGCTATATGCTTGCAGAATTCCAATGAAACCAAAAGTAGTGGACTATGTGGTCTCTCTTTAGCCTGTTTTCCCTGCTCATATGTGGCTTCTGGCACACAGGAGTTAGAGAGTACTCTGCTAACAATGAACATCAGATTAGCACCATTAAATTTGAAACTGAACTAGCAATATTTGAAAAGATAGTGGCTTATTTTAAGATAGTGGCTTATTTTAAGAAGAAAAAGCAATATCCAAACTGTGTGCCTGATGTAAAACACCTCTAACATTTTGTGACTTCTGACAATTGCTCATAGATGAGAAATAACCAATTGCTCATAGATGAGAAATAACCAACTTAATACCTTATCACAATAAGAGCATAATTATCTAGCACTGAGCATGGGTAATTCCAGTTCAATGATATAAACTATTTGAGGGTTTAAATAAATATGGAAAGAAGAAATAATGGAAAGAAGGAAGTGCATTTTTAAAACCCAGATTAAAGCTATCACTTAATCACTTAACTTCCCGTTAGTCGGCGATTTGCTCGAGCGGGCGCCAGTAACGTCTCCATTTGTCCCTGTCGCGTGCTAGTGTAGCCCAATGGCATCTGTTCGCCAAAACAGATTAAAGCTATCATGCTAAGAAAAGTCAGCCAGGAGAAAGATACATAACGATGGCTCTAGTATGTAGTATAAAAAGAATTATAGTAAGGGATTAACAAGTAGCACAAAACAACAGAACCTACAATCTGGTATACAAAACTGAGCTTACTATGATGGGCAGGAAAGTGCTGAGAGGTAGGCAAGGGAGCTGGAATGGGGTCTGAATGGTGGAGGGAAGCAGACACTCTTGGGGCTGGAACATCATATGCAGAAACCCTATCATTAAAAGAACTGCAAACCATGGTGACTAAAATAAAATTTTAAAAAATTCTCCTTACTAGTTCACCCTTAACACTAAAGAAAGTGGGGGTGATAGTTTCAATTAAGGACATTACATTTTCATTATGTGATGGGAAGATGGTGTAATTATCTAATGTGGATTGTAAATAACCTAAAGATTTTCTGCAACTCTACAAAAAAATGTAAAAAATACTTTTTACATTTCTATTTTCCCTCGAACACTAGTTTTATCTGTTTCATATATTGGATTTTCTCACAAAATTTAGCTAGAAGAAAGAATTCTTCCAAACATACAAAGTATAAAGCTTACATATAAAGTAAGCTTACATATAAAGCTCACATATAAAGTAAGCTTACATATAAAGTTTACAAACCTTTAGTCTAGGAGAGAAACAAAAGCAGTCAGAATCTAGACCCATGAGGACCAAGCCTCAAGTCTTGCCTGTGCGAAGCTGTCACAGCCACCACCACTGCCACTGCTACCTTCTGTACAACAACTTGCACAAAAATAAATAGTGGGAGTTACTCTGACAAGAAAACTACACATGACTCCATCAATGACCATACCATTTTATTCCTATGCCACAGAAAAGCACAATGCCTAAATTTTTCTAGTTATTATCAAGTTCAGAGGCACCATAGAACATGCAAATAAACTGTTTTTCTTTTGTACTCTAATGAAACTTTCATTTAAAATTTTTTCACATATAACTAGTGGAAAAATATTAACAGTTTTTTTTCAAATTTTAAATAAAACAGCAAAATAAAAAAGGTTGAAAAGAACTCAATACACTAAGTTTCCATGAAATACAGAAGCAATTCAAGATTCATTTTCTCTTTCCCACCTAGAAGAGAGCACAGAGAAATGCCTGACCTCCCTAAAATTCCTAGTTGGCTCTGAATTTTATCTCATTATGTTAGAGTCTAGCTGGCCATGAGAAGTCCCCTTCACTCTTCCTTAGCTTTCAAGGGAGAAGTACTGCTAAAGTTGCCTCATTGTTCTGTCTCAATCATAGTCTCATTGCTGTCACCAAGATATATAGTCTAATACATTTCAGCCACTTTCTGTTAGCTCTACTACAGTCCAAGGAAAAGAATGATTATTAGGCCAACTTTCTCTTATTCCCAGAAGATGCTCTCCCTTTTACAGGGCTAGGAAGATGGGATTGTCCTTAGAAAGTACACCATTCAACTGTTTTTATCTGAACCCTCTCTCCAAAGTATAGCAAATACAGTACCCAAGGCTTCCTGTGTTCTAGAACTGAGCTTCCCTGGTGAATTTTATGTGTTTCATATTTTCTTTTGCATTTTCCCTTACACTGAATACATGCATTTCTTTCTCTCACTGATATGACAATAGTCAGATCTAGGATTTGAGAGTCCATGTGGGGATAGATATAGGACAAAAAGGTAGCCACATACATGTTATGGTTAAGATAACATCAAGTTACACTAGGAATTGAGGCAAAGTTTACAGCTAAATAAGAGAATATTTCTCTGTAATTTTATGCCTCTCGTGTGTTATCTACTGCCTCGGAAGGCCAAAAACACCTAAGAACCAGTTTATACCATCCTAACATAGCCTCAACTTCATTAGAACTTATGGTAACATTTACCTGATCTGTTTGCCTTCCCTCATATCATACAAGGAAAAAAAGACATCAGTATCTTCCCCAATGGTATTGTAGGTGAAACTCTTCAAGTTGAGGAAGAAGTGGTGTGGTACTGGCATCCGACAAGTTTCCCCATGACGTGGGCGCATTGTATCTACCTAATGAAGAAGGTTAAAAAAAAAGTGATTTCTATTTTAATTATTTGTTACAGTCATCATAAGTAAAATAAAAACTGAATGACTAACTCATCATACACTTGAAGAGACCATTTATTTAAGAGGGAGACAAAGATATTTTCTATGCTACCAGAGAGTGCTATGTCAATATGCTTAGATAGGTAAATATGCAACTGAGAGAAGCAAACAGAGTGAAGGACGTAGAGAAACAGTGAATCCAATTTTGAGTGAACAGAATTTCTCCATTTTACCACAATTTCTCCATGAAATCCTTTTCTAAAGTCATTTCTTAGAGTCACTATCATGACCATGACACATTTGACTGCACTGTTTTTAGAAAGTTACCATTCTAAAGAACATTATAATTTTATCTCTGATTTTATTTTACCTCTCCTTTCTTTCAATTGTTCTTCTGTAAATTTGCAAGTAGACAATGGACAAATATGCTTGTAAGTCAGGGATCCTTAGAGAAAGACCATACAATCAAGAAGTAAATGCATTTCCTGAATGCATGCCTTGTGATCTCCTAAAATACAAATTTGCATTTCCTGAGTCCAAATGTTCTGATCTCTTAAAATACAAACGGAAGGAAAAGACAGAAGTCTGAATAAGTTACTTACCTGAGATGTGCTTTGCTGTACACTCTGCCGACTAGATAAATGCTATAGAAAGAAAGATAAAAAGGAAAAAAATCTCTCAACTGGGAAGGAAATTAACTTTTATTAGGTACTAGCTACACGTTAGGCATTCTGCTACCTTTCATATATATGATCTGACTTGGTTACGCTAAATACTAGGTATTTGTAGTTGATGGAGACAATAGCTTAGTGTAAGGAAATGATTTGCTAAAGGTTACACAGTAAGACAGTGGCATAAACTGCATTCAAATCTAAGTCTCTTCAGTTATGAGTACCAGCCAAACTATAAGTAGGATTTTGTTACTGCACTTTTGTCCTTTCTACATACTGTCCACACCCTGAGCTGTGTGATACACCTTCTTAAAGTTCTCCACACATGGCTTTTAACCAAAAGGAGAACTCTCCCAAACATCTCACAGTCCTGCTTTCTATCATGCTGACTAAAATTAAAAGAAGGGCTGGAACAACAGTACAAAGCGTAGGGCATTTTGCCTTACAGAGGCAGACCCAGGTATAATCCTTGGCATCCCATATGGTCCCCTAACGGCATAGATGTGTGAGACAGCACTCACTTTATGAAATTGTTCTGCAGAGACACCATGGGTAAGAAGAATGATTGCTAAGTAACACTGACTTTCTTTTCCAAACATGCTTATTTATCCCTAAATAAAACTGAAGTAAAATTATATACTTAAAAGCAAATCACTAGCAACAGCATGTTCACTACTAGATACACAGGAACACCACTAATCTATGAGATTTTTAAGTACTAATGCTCAATAATTAGATTAATATACTCTTAACTCATATGATAAATATGCGTCTTCACTTGTAGCCTCCAAGCACTCCCAGGCCTGAGTAGCACTGCAGGTCCCGGACCATGTGCTGAACCATTAGGCTCAGACTACTAATCTCAGCACTGCTGGAAGAGGCCTTCAGTATCAGGGTCAGGTCCTTGGCATGCTGACCCCAACTATCAGCTCTGCTGGGTGTGGACACTATTTATAGACAGTTCACCATTTTTCTTGAAAATCATATTAGAAATATATATGGCAGAAAAGATAATGTCAGATGTAAAATAATCCATAAAAATCTTTTACATATCAGGCTTTAAAAAAATCAGGTTCTATCTGCGCTACTTTTCCATAACCCATTGAGAAATGTCTAAAATGCCTTTCATTATTTGGTTTTACATTACTTTTATATTCAGGACTTGTTTTCTCACTCTTCTCAAGTGACACTCCTGTAAATCTAAACATAATTTCAATCTAAACATAAATTCTCAATTAAAACCATATATGAGAATTCATAGGTAATTTCAGTATGAAATAACCATGTTGACAATAGCAAATGTCATTTTACATTTAAGAGGCATAAAATTTAGCAAGAATTATTCAGCATAGTCTGAAAGTACATCATGAGAGTGGCCAGAGAAAGGATGCTATTTGGTTATGGCACTGTAAAGCATGGTCACTATCACAACCTCAGGCAGCCATCAGCTGATCAGCTGATACTTCCTTCTTCAGAGCATCATTGGTAATAGTGCTCTAGTAATTACTACCCAACTCTAGACTTTCCCGTACCAGGGAACAAAGAAACAGCCTTATTCACCTTTATATTATCAGTACTTGTCAATATATTTCAAATATATGTTACTTGAAAGTACAGCCAATATTACTGCCTCTGCCATATATTTTTCTATAGTGAAGTATTTTTCAGCTCTTGGAAAGTTCTGGCTTATTTAGACCACAAAGTCTGCCATTTATTAAATAATATAGTCAACTAATTTAAATCCAGATATGGAAGTATAAATATTGACCCATTAAAATATTAATCAGCACTGTAAATAACAGACTAACAAAGTTCCTAACAAAGGATAATGTGGAAGAATAACAATGCAGCAGGAAGCAATAATGTAATTACTATATTAAACCTTACTATCATTTGTTCTCATATTTTTAGTTTCCTTTTTGCTTAGTTTTGGTTTTTGGGACCACACTTGGTAATGCTCAGGGCTTACTCCTGGCTCTGTGTTCAAGGATCTCTAGTGGCAGGTTTCAGGGGACCGTATGTGGTCCAGAGAACCAAACCCTAGTTGGGAGTGTGCAAGGCTAGCACCTTCCCTTCTATACCACCTCTCTCTCCCCATATTTGTAGTTTTCAACTGTCCACATTTCCCAAACATGTGTGACTAAGAGTAATACAAATATTTTATTGTTGCTCTAATTTAGGCAATGCCAATTTTCTATTCTTAAACTTTCTCTTATACAGAAGAAAGTTCTTGCTATATAGAAAACTCACCTATTCCTATATAAATATTTTTTAACCTTTGGAATAAGTTTAGGTTTATTTTTAATATAGTTTAGGTAACATTTGAAACTGTTAATATTTATGGTTTTGATGCACAAAGTTACTGCACTTCACCACTACTAATATGCCCAAGATCATCCATCACTGTCCTTGTGTCATTTCGAGTACATTATTCTTCCCCTCCACCAAGTCCACCCATCGCTTTGTAAGCTCAGTTTTGTAATATAAGGATAAGTATTTGTCCTTAAATATTGGCTGTTCCCTTGTTTCATTTTACTATATGCCACAGATGAGTAAGACTATCTGGTATTTGTCCATTTTACCCTGACTTGTTTTTACTTAACATGATGCCCACTAGGTCAATTCATTTTTTTCTTATATTTGAGTAGTATTCCATTATACATGTATGTATATATGTATATACATTTTGTCTGTTATTGGATATATGGGTTCCTTCCATATCCTGGATATCATACTTAGCATTGAACATAGGTGCATGAATATATTTAAAGTGTTTATGGGGTAGATGCCAAGAAGTGAAATAACTGGAAGTTCTAGTCTTCATTTTAATTTACCGATATTATTCTTTTAAAAAAACTGAACTTTAACATCTTGCTTGTACAAGAACAATGGATAAACAAATGATTTTAATTGCAGTAGAAGAAAAGAACAAAGTCTGGCAATCCTTTGAGTTTATCAAAATTTTCAAGCCTGATCGAGGAGGACCTCAAACTAACACTCCATGCAATGCAATAAAAGTTAAGCAATCACTGAAAGAAAAATGCAATCAACTCAAAGAATTGATTCAGATATTAAAGAATCCATATAAACGAAACTGAAGAGCTAAAGAATATAAAAACAAGCCAAAGTAACAGAATTCTGACATGAAGAGCCTATCCATGAACTTGAAGAGAAAATGAAACAATAATAAAGTGGTGAAAGAAAAGAGAAGCAAAAGAATGGAAGAAAATGAAAGATACTTAAGGGGTAAAACCAAAAGGAATAATCTCCAAATTATAGAAATACTAGAAGGAGAGAAAAAATAAAAAAGGGAAGAACAACTGATAGATGAAATAATAACTCAGAAATCCCTCAGTCTCTGGAAGGAGGCTTCTGCACAGTTTTGAGGCCCAAAGACTACCAAACAAAATAAATTCAAACAGAACACCACCAAGACATCCTGTAACCAAGATGGCAAAAAGCAAAGAAAGAGAAAGACCACTTAAATCACTGAAAATAAAAATCTCAAATATTAGGCAATTAACATGACAGGATCTCCCATATAAAACCATACAAGCAAGAAAAGAATGGAAAGATATATTCAAAGTTTTGAATGAAAAAATACTTCTAACCTAGAGTCTACTATCCTGCAAAGCTGTCATTTAGCTTTTTTCTTTTTTTTAACTTTTTTAATTGAATCACTGATAACCCTTACTGAGCTGTTCATGATTGGATTTCAGTCATACAGTTCCAACACCCATTCCTCCACCAGTGTACATTTCCCAGTACCAGTGTCCCCAGGTTCCAAGGTTCCCTCCCATCAGCCCCCCACTCCCTACCCTCCTCTGTGGCAGGCACTTTTCTTCTTTCTCTATTTCCCTCCCTCCCTCCCTCCTCTCTCCCTCTCCCTCCCCTTTGTATCCTCTCTCTCTCTTTCTCTTTTTCTCTCTCCCTCCCTCCCTCCCTCCTTCCCTCCCTCCCTCCCTCCCTTTTGGGCATGCGGGATAAGAACTGAGTGTTAAAAATAGGCAAAGGGATATTCCTGATAATCTTTCAGTATCAATACAGCTTTTTATCTTTTCAAAAAAATTATTTTATTTAATCACCATGAATCACAGTTATTCATGACTTGGTTTCATGTGCACAATGCTCCAACACATTGCTATTCACCAACATTCATTTTGCTCCACCAATGTCCACAGTTTCCTTCCTGCCCCCACCTTGCCTCTATGGTAGGCACTTTTTTCTTTTTTTCCTTTTAGGCGCTGTGGTTTATAATACTATTACCGATGGTGTATCATGCATGTCACTTTACCTCCTGTCATAACCCAGTCCTCATCTAGAGAGACCACTTCCCTCTATAATTGCCATAGTAGTCTCTTCCTGATCTATTCCTGCTTTCTCCTGAGCCCCCACTGAACTCTCCCACAGTGGCAAGATTCCTACTAATGCTCTAATGCACCAGTTCTAATGCTCTTCATTTCTACTGCATTTTGGCATCATTTATATTTCTTTATATCCTGCATATGATTGAGATCATTCAGTGTTTGTCTCTCTCCCTCTATCTCACAGACATCTGCACTCCCATGTTCAATGCAGCACTACTCATAATAGCTACAATCTGGAAATAACCTTTGTGCTCAAGAACATCTGGCTAAAGAAGCTATTGTACATATACACAATGGAATACGACTCAGCTATAAGAAAAGATGAAGTCATGTGATATGCTGATATATGTATGGAGAATATCATGCTGAGGAAATGTGCTCTTCAGATTTGAGGTGGGGACTAAAACATTCTCAGACAAACAAAAGCTGGTGATATTTATTATACCTAAAACAACCCTGAAAGAATTCTTGAAAGGCCACCTATAAAAAGCAAAAGACCTATTGCAAAAGCAACTAAACCCCATACAGAAAAATGGCAGAACAGCCCTTTATATTAATAATCTTTTTGAATATCAATGAACTAAACCCTCCCCCTTGAAAGACACAGAGTGACTGGAAGGACCAGGAAACAAAATCCAACTACTTGCTGCTTACAGGAAGTATATCTAAGTTCACAGAGTAAATACAGGCTCAGAAAGAATGGATTGAAAACAATCATGTCAATGGCAGACAAAAATGCTAGGACAGCCATATTTATATCACATCAAATATTATCCAATCCAAAAAAAGTAGCGGTAAGAACAAATGCTAATTATTGGCTAAGGAAACAATAGATCAAGATGTACTCATAAATATATATTCACCAAATAAAAAGTTAGCAAAGTGCGTAAAATTTCTCACAGACCTAAGAAAACACACTGATAGAAACTATAGTACACATATGTAACAATCAATGTATCAACAAGTCTAGTCTAACTCCAATACACATTAGGAATGCAACAAATTCATATCATTTCTATTATTCTAACACTAGCCCATAATAATGAAATTAAAATCTTCTGCCTGAATAAATGTTCCAAGTTTCTGTTCCTAAACTACTCTACTCCTTTTCAAACATATCAGCTGAAGGAATCTCTTAAGATGTAAGTCCCATCCATAGAGCAAAAAGAAAAAGACTGGAAACAATTGGTGCTGGTGAGGATGTGGTGAAATCCTCATTCACTATGGTAATGACATTATCTGGTTTAGCTTTATGGAAACAGAATGCATATTCCACAGAAAAGTAAAACAAAGTTCCTTTATGACTCAAAGACCAGTGATATCACTTCTTAGCATCTACCCCTGAACACAGAAATATTATTTGACCTCATGTGGGGTTTTTTGTTTTGTTTTGGGGCCACACGAGGCTCGATGGTTTTGGACCATACCAGTGCTCAGGACTTACTCCTGGCTCTGCACTCAGAAATCACTCCTGGTGGTGCTTGGGGGACCAAACAGGCTGACATAAAAACATTAATTTGAAAAGATATATGAACGCCTGTTTGTTATAGCACATTTTACAATAGACAGGGTTTGGAAACAATGTAAATGTCAACAAAAGATGAGAATGTAAATAATTTATGGTATATGTACACAATGGAATACAATTCAGCTATAACAAAAGATGAAATACTGTAGTTTACTGTGACATGGATGGAATTAGATGGGATCATATTAAGTGAAATAAATCACAAGGAGAATGACAAATAATAGGTTATCTCACTCATCGGTGGTACAGAGACAAAGTAAGGAAAGAGAAGTATCCAATGATCAATGAACCCTTGGCCTCAGATCATAAAACTTAAATTAACAAGTATTTGGGTAAATGGATGGGGAGTGAAGATGAACTAGAAGTGACAGTAACAGAGTCATGGACATTTAGTGGTGGGTGCAAGTAATTTTGTATATCAATATCATTAACATTAAAACTACTGTAACCATATCAGTAAAATTATAATAAATAAATGATAAAAAAATAAAATATAGCCAACTCATGTGGCCCAAGGGGAGGTCTAAGCCTCAAACTTTCATTCACCATTCATTTTTCACATCTAGTTATGTCAAAATTCACGATCACGATCACGATGATCCTGTTGTTTGTCAGTTGCCTCGAGCAGGCACCAGGAACGTCTCCTTCATCCTAGCCCTGAGATTCTAAAAAGTGCCACATTCAAGGCTCTTTCAGGGTTAAAATTGTCAAAATTCATTTTCATTTAATTAATTGCCAAATTTTCTCCTGCATTTCTTGTCTATTCCAACTAGTACTAAGTCATTGCTTACCCAAAAAATGTAAGTGATTCCTTCCTCCAGCTTTTTATACTTTCTATGGATAAAATTGGCATTAATTTTTTTAATTTATTAAAAAATTTTTTCATTCCCTTCATAATTTCCTTTTGTTGCTGTTGATTATGTTTCTATTATGATTCAGGGTTGTACACATCTGGCTATAGTGTTTGCCAGTTATTTTTTAACATCAGGTTACAATAGTGATTGCGCTCAGCCGTGGTATTAACTGAGATTTACATTATTTTTTTTAATTGTAGTGCTTACACTTGCCAGGGCTCAAACTCTTAGCTGAGACAAACAAGTTATAGTTTTTTTTTTCTTTTTGGGTCACACCCAGCGATGCACAGGGGTTACTCCTGCCTCATGCACTCAAGAATTACTCCTGGCGGTGCTCGAGGGACCATATAGGATGCTGGGAATCAGACCCAGGTCGGCCGCGTGCAAGGCCCTATCCACTTTACTATCGCTCCATACCCACAAGTTATAGTTTTGGTGCTCACTAGGGGTTGCTCTGGTGCTCACACACATGCTTGTCAGAGGCTGCATCTCCTTGCCATAGTGCTTGCACATCTCTTTAGCTGAGGTATTTAAATACATTGGAAAAAGACAAATTTAGTAAAAAATGGTTTTATAACATTATTGAGGAAAGTAAACAATAAAAAATAAGTATTTTAATTAAATTAGTTAAATTAGTCATTAGATTTCTTACCATTTTATAGAGATCTGAGACACTAATCTGGTCCGAATCCACTACTTCAAAGTCTTTTCGGGGCACAAGGTCCAGCCCCAAATGCCTGGAAAGAGAAAGACCACACTCAGCATGCCATGCCTTCAGACTTCGTAGCTGCCATTACTTTTTTCAAGAGAGTTAAGATACACAGATTAACTATGTTATTAATTTAGGACAGGTGCAGCAGACATTTCAGGAAATGCTGTTTTACCTCAATCAAGCAGAATTAATCCTAATCAAAATTCAGCCTGGTGATTGGGCCTTATTAAAATCTAAACTTATCCACTAAGAGAACTGAGTTGGGCTATTTTAAATAGGACTGTTTTATGGTACTTTCATTTTACCTGTTCTCTTTATATTAAAAATTATCAATATTATAAGAGACCAGACAGACAGGGGTTAAGGCACTTGCTTCAAATATGGCTGATGCTAGTTTGCTACGGTTCCACAAACACAGCCAGTAGTAATTCCTGATGACAACTGGGTGTAGCCCCAAAGTCTCTGCCCTCAAATACTAATAGTTATAAATGATTACAACCATTCAGTCATAATTGGTTTAGAGATAACTTTAGTTACAACATTACCTTCACGAGAAGTGTAAATTAATCAAGAAGAAGGAAATTATGGGTGGGTTAAGACATGAAGATATATAAAAAAAGATATGGAAATATAATGTAGGAAGAGAACATGATAGGAAGAGAAAGAACCAGAAATTATGTGTTTATTGTACTTTGTCTTAAGTATTCATATTTCACAATAAGAAGATATAAATTTATTTAATACTGAAAAATGGGCTGGAGCAATAGCACAGCAGTAGGGAGTTTGCTTTGCATATGGCCAACTTGGCCGTCATGAGTTCAATTTCTCCGCCCCTCTCAGAGAGCCCGGCAAGCTACCGAGAGTATCTCTCCCACACGGCAAAGTCTGGCAAGCTACCCGTGACATATTTGATATGCCAAATATGGTAACAAGTCTCACAACAGAGACCTTACTAGGCCCACTCAAGCAAAGCGATGAACAACAGGACAGTGCAATATAGGAAAAACCTCATATTAAACAAAAGCCTATACATTGTGCATGTTACTCCAAACTGTGGATTCTACCTAAAGAAGAAATACCACACTGTATTATTATATTTTTATTCAGATATTCTTCTAATGCTAAGATTAATTACCCTATTGTAAACCATTGTCATATTAATGAAAAATAAGCACTAGTAAATTAAAACACAAAATAATTTCAATAAACAATTATACATTCACCAGATGATGTGTTAAATGTCAGTACTTTATGAAATTTATAAAATTATGGTGGAACCATTATTCACTACAACACTTAGCACAATAGCCAAGATACGGAATCAACCTAGGTGTCCAACAACAGATGAATGGATTATGAAGATGCCGTAAACATACACAATGGAATACTATGCAGCTTCAAGGAATGATATTTGGATGGAATTTGGATGGAATTTGAAGATACCATGTCGAGTTAAGTAAGCCACAAGAAAGACAAATAAAATGATCTCACTTATATAGATGAGGAAATACAACGTAGTAAAGGAGGATGTATAAATCACCATCTACCTCAGGGTACAGGGAAAAGAACAGGGCATAGGGGAAAAGACAGAGAAGGAGAGAGGAAGGAAGAATATGAGAAAAGGAAGTAATAGAGAACCAAGAGTTAGGTCAGGGCCTTGGATATACTGGTAATGTGGGGGAGTAATATAGCTATATATCCAAACCACAGAGTCAACAACCAAAAGACATAATTCAAACTACAACCACCAGTTCTTAAAATGTACTTGTCAAGGTGTCAGACATAGTGAGAGCAGGAAGGAACTTGGGAACACTGGTGTAGAGAAGTTGACAGTGGTGCTGGGACTGGTGTTAGAACAGTATACGTCTCATAACTTTGTAAATCATGGTTCTTTAATTAAATTTTAAAAAATTTTTAAATAAAACAAAAGTAGCGGTGGAAAAAGAAGTATGGAATAAGTCAAGTAACAGGAAAAATAAATATGGCTATATGTGCTCAAATGTAATGTGCAAAAGTGCATAATGGTATAAATGACTTCATTTTGGGAGAGGGCTCCCAGTGGTGCTTTGAGGTTCACAGTGATACTCTGATAGCCTGTGTGACCCTGACAGTTTTGGTGCTCAGAGAAGTGATGCAAAGTTGTTCAGACTGACAATGCAGGAGACCACTAGTATAAAACCCCAGTGGTAGTGCTCAGAGGGTCTGTGGTGCCAGGGATCAAATCAGAGGTTACATGTATGGAAACCACACATTTCAGTCTTTTATTTATTTCTCTAGTTTTAGCTATTTCCCTAGCTAGTTCCATTTCCAAGTCGTGACAACTTGGATGGAACTGGAGGGCATCATGCTGAGAAAAATAAGTCAGAGGCAACAGGATAAATAAGTATAATATCATGCATCTGTGGTATACAGAGAAACAAATGAAGAACATGGATAACATCAATAAATAATAAGCCCTGAATACTGGAATACAGACCTGAGAGTGCCAGATTTGGGATGAGGGGAACGAACCCGTTAACTGGAAGTAATATGGGAACATAGGTAGAAGGTGTGAGGATATGGGTGGGAAGTAACAGTATTTACTAAAACCTTAACTTTCAATTAACAAACAATGTGCAGAGGGGGTAGGAGGGAAGGAACAATGGACATGAAATGACATACAAATGGGTGGGGGAAGAATGATGGGCACTTTGGTGGCAGGAGTGTGCAGTAACTTTCTACATCAATACAAGAATACTGAACGCTATTGTAACCCTTTCATATAAACTATACAGTTTTTTTTTTACCAATTTAAAAATACATTGAGGGTTGGAGCAATAGCACAGCAGGTAGGGCATTTGCCCTGCATGGAGCTGACCCGGGTTTGATTCCCACATCCCATATGGTCCCCTGAGCACCGCCAGGAGTAATTCCTGAGTGCATGAGCCAGGAATAACCCATGTGAAATGCCAGGTGTGAACCAAAAAACAAAAAATAAAATAAAATTAAATTAAAATAAAATAAAAATACATTGGTATGTCTTCAATCCTCTTTTAACTTTTGTGAATAGTGTGCGATAGTTTCAGACTTGTTTTTGTTCTTGTTTTTATTTCACATATAGCTATCCAATTTTCCCAGCACCATTTGTAAACAAAACTTTCCTTCAAATATTTGATTAATTTATTATAGATTAACTTCCCATAAATGTGTGAGCTCATCTCAGGACTCTCAATTCTGTTCCATTGGTCTGATTGTCTACCTTTATGCCAAAACCATACAGTTTTATTATTAGTACAATTCAAAATTGGGAAATACAATAACTCCTATGTTTTTTTCCTTAGAATTGTGTTGGCTATTCAGGAAGTTTTAGGGGTCCACATAAATGTAAGTAAAGTTCTTCCAAACCCTTAAAATTGTCACCAGGATTTAAAAATTGTATTGGGATAACTGGAAAGACACATGCCACAAAAATTAACTCAACATAAATTAAAGACCACAAAAATAGATCAAAATCCATAAAAATATACTGAGAAAAATAGACATAACTTTTTAAGAAAGGCAGCAGTAGTGTCTTCAATAATTTGACTCTAGAGGCAAAAAAGGAAAAAAATAGGGACTATTTGCTCGAGGTAAGGTAAAGGCCCTCCCGTTGATCGTCGATTTGCTCGAGCGGGCCCAGTAACGTCTCCATTGGAGACTTTGTTGTTACTGTATCTGGCATATCCAATACTCTCGGTAGCTTGCCGGGCTCTCCGAGAGGGGCGGAGGAATCGAACTCGGGTCGGCCATGTTGGCCGCGTGTAAGGCGAACGCCCTACCCGCTGTGCTATCGCTCCAGCCAGGGGCTGGAGCGATAGCACAGCGGGTAGGGCGTTCGCCTTACACGCGGCCAACATGGCCGACGAGGGACTATATAAAATTAAAACAAGTCTGCATGGCAAAAGCAACTATGGTTAAAAATAAAAAGACACCAAATGAATGGGAGAAAATATTTGCACTCAATAAATCAAATAAAAGGCTAATATACAAGATTAATAAAACACAAAAGTCAACAATAAAAATACCCAATAACCCCCATCAAAAACAGGGAGAAGAGCTAGAGAGATAGTATAGAAGGTAGGATACTTGCCTTGCATGAAGTTGACTTGGGTTTGATCCCTGCACAACATATGGTTCCCTGAGCACTCTCAGGAGTGATCTCTGATTGCAGAGGCAGGAGTAAGTCCTGAGCATATTCAGGTGTGACCCCCAAAATAAAACCAAAAAAAAAAACGGGGTGGAGATAAACAGATACTTCTCCAAAGATGACATGCAAATGACTCAAAGGCATATGAAAGTGTTTATTATCACTAATTATCAGGAAAATGCAAATGAAAACAACAATGAGATCTCAGCTCACACCAGTGAGATGGCATACACCAAAAAGTCTTTGAATAACGAGTTTTGGCAGAAACATAATTAAGAAAGAAATCCTCAATCAATGGTGGGAATGTCAGCTGGCTCAAACTCTATGGAAAGCAATATGGAGATTTTTTTCAAAAAGTAAGAACAGAACTCCCATATGACCCAGTGATATCAATTCTTGGTAGTTAAACTCCAAACACTGTCCTCCCATTGTTCATCGATTTGCTCGGGGAGGCACCAGCAACGTCTCACAACAAATTATGAAACTTCTTGTTACTATTTTTGGCATATCAAATATGTCACGGGGAGCTTGCTAGGCTTTGCTGTGCAGGCGAGATACTCTCAGTAGCTCGCCGGGCTCTCCGAGATGGGCAGAGGAATCAAACCCGGGTCGGCCGCATGCAAGGCAAAAACCCCTACCTGCTGTGCTATCACTCTGGCCCAAACTCCAAACAAAAACATTAATTTGAAAGGATATATGCACACCTATGTTCATTGCAGCACTTAGTATAACAGCCAAGATATGAAAATAACCCAAATGTCCAACTAAAGATGAATGAATCAAGAAGCTACATCGTATTTACACAGTGTAATACTATGAAGCTATAATAAAAATGGAATTCATGCAATTTGCCACTACACATATGGAACTAGAGGGCATCATACTGAGTGAAGTCATTTAAGAACAAAAGGGACAGAATGATCTCTCTTATATGGATATAAAGATACACAGTAACAAATGACCAAAGACAATAGAACTGAAGACTTGGTTCAAAGGAATTGAGTTTACAGGGCTAGTGGGGAGAAGGGTGAATGGGAGAGACCTTTAAGATATTAGTGTAGCCAGGGGGAAAAGGCAGCTCAGATAGAGAAGGGAGCACCAAATAAAGGGTGTTCGGAAGATCCTCCCAGGATGGGAGATGCATGCTGAGAGTAGACTTCAGACCAAACATGATTGCCACTCAATGCCTCTTTTGCAAACCAGAGCACCAAAAAGGAGAGAACAAAAAGGAAAGCCCTGCCACAGAGACAGGGTGGGATGGGGGGGATGGGGGGGGGTGGGAGGGATACTGGGATCAGTGGTGGTGGAGAATGGGCACTGGTGGAGGAATGGGTATTCGATCACTGTATAACTGAAACCCAAGCACAAAAATTTGTAAGTCTACAACTGTACCTCATGGTGTTTCACTAATAAAAAAAATAAAAAAAGAAAAGTTGAAAAATATATTATGTAGACAAACTCTATCAATAAATACTTGTTAAATAAAAACACAAATAAAAATTAAAAAAAGATATTAGTGTAGGAACTCTGGCGTTGAGTGTGGTGTTGGAGTGATGTATGCACAAAAGTATCACAACAGTATATAAATAACAGTACCTCAATAAAATATAATGTGAAAAATATTCTTTAAATATGTATCACAGCACTTAGCACCTAATACGTATTTTTTAAAAGATAAGAAAAATACATTGATAGGTTGATTGGCAAGCTTATTTTTCTTAATATATAGAAACAATCTGATTATCTGTAAAACTTTAAATACCATGATATGGAGAGCTCTGCAGTAATGTTACAGTTCTTAATCTAGGTGCACAATTTCCTCATTGGCAATTGTTTTTTTAAGTTAATCTATAGGCATAAACACTTTGCACCCGGATCTTCTTTTCGGGGCAGTATATTATCCTATTTATGTATGTGATTTTTTGGTAAGTTTCAAAAAATACATTCCTCATGTTTCTGAGAGCATTACTTAAAGCTCTTTGACACAGGACCCCCTTATTACTAATCCTCCATCTACTTTCCAGATTCAAGGAACTGGTAATATCTCATTTACTAATTAGGTGCCTTCCATTCTCATTATTTTCTGTCCTTTCAATGACAGGAACTAATGACTTGTACTAAAGTATTCTTAAGATATCTGTTTACATTAAATACGAAGCAAACTGATCATTTTAAAGTTCAACAGAACTGGTTTTGAGATAAACACCTCAGAAGAATATCCATTATTAAATGTAAGAATAAAAAAATGTAAAGATGTAACAAACTGTAACAAGAATATAACAAAATATAACAACTTGTAACAAAAATCTGAATATTGCCTATTGCAGCATCTCATACAAAAGTCTCAGAATTTTATTTGTATAGAAAATGTAAATAATCACAGCTAATTAACCCATGTATTAAATGACAAAAGGCTTTAACATGCTAAAGTACAGATGAAGAACACTACAAGTACAGATGCAGACAACTAGAAAATAACTACAAGATGAAATCAGAGTATTCTTATCATGAAGGTCTAAAACCAATAAAACTTGAGTCACCAAAAGTGAGACACGCTCAAATGATACTCATACTTACTCATTACCCCAGTCCAGGCGCACAGTGATGTGTCGTTTAACTTCCCGCACCTGATCCTGAGTTAGGTGACCAGACAGTAGCTGCCTTCGAAGGTCAATAAGCTCATTCATCACATGGCGAAGCTTGTAGAAAAGATCTACTTTGTGTTTCTGAAAGGGTATTATTGGTGTAGGGTGAAATTAAAAAAAAAAGGTGGGGGAATAAAGAAAGAAATTGAGAAAAACAAAGTTCTAATTATTTCTCTGAATCTCTTTAAAGACAATGTGAAAAAGAACTTAATTAACTTCTATTGTCAAAAAAAGAAAAAAATAGATCATATAGATTTCCAAGAAGTGTTAAACAATGCAAAGTCATGCAAAGTACCTTTAGTTTATCTCTACTCCATTCTGAATACATTCTAACAAAATATTATTAATCTAACTCAGAATATAAAGTTTGTTACAGGTGCAGCAGCCCAACTGTAGTTACTATGTAACATCAAAGGTTTCAGCTCTTGTTTCTCCTTGAGGGATTACTTATTGAGGAAGAAAAGAACTTGTTCTATTTTGAAGAAACTTCAACATAAAGTCAAGAGTCTCTGGAGTGATATTCACTTCAGTTATCCAAACCTCATCCAGCTTTAATTAGTTTCTGAAAACTATAGGCATCTCTAGTGCCACAGATTTCCACTCTTTCCAAGATTAATTTAAAACATCACATATATAATTTAAGTGGGATAATCTTAATTAGAACATTTATTGAAAACGTTTTTAGTTATTATAAATGCCACAAAAGTAGATCCTTAAGCAAGATATTTTTACCTTTTCATTAAAATTTAAATTTTTTCTTGTATGTTAAGAAACATGGTTGCAACAGTGTTAACAATCTTATTTTTTATATAAAAAGTGGCTGCACTTTTTGGAGGATCCTCCCAGGAGGGGAGATGCAGGTTGAAAGTAGACTGGACTGAACATGTTCGCCACTCAATGCCTCTTTGGCTGATCACAGCGCCCAGGAGGAGAGAGAGAACAGGGGGGAATGCCCTGCCACAGTGGCAGGGGGGGATGGGGGGATGGGAGGATGGGGGGAGGGATATTATCCTGGTGGTGGAAAATGGGCACTGGTGGAGGGATGGGTATTTGATCGTGGTATGACCGAGATCCAAGCACAAAATTTGTAAATCTACAACTGTACCTCATGTTGTTTCACTAATAAAAAAGAAAAAAAAAGTGGCTGCACTTTTATATAAAAGTCACTGGTGATGAAGGCAAGAGTTTTTCATCATTCAGTATTGTCTTCCCTTGTTCTATCCCTATATAACACAGATGAGTAAAATCATCCAGTATTTGTCCTTTTGCTTATTTAACACAATGTCCTTCAGATCCATTCAAGTTGTAGCGAACTACAGGGTTTCATCTTTTCTTATAGCTGAGTAGCATTTTACTTCGTATATATGCCACAGCTTCTCTGTCCCTTCATCTGTCATTGGACATTTGGGTTGCTTCTATATCATGGCTTATTGTATTTAGTGCTGCAATGAACACAGGTGTGCATGTACCTTTTTGAATTAATGTTTTGCTTCTGGAAAGTAAGTAGATGTCAAAAAGTAGAATTGTTGGATCATATGCAAGTTTCATTCTTACCTTTTCAGAAATCACATGGGCAAAGTCATTTTGCCCATGTAAATTATTCCAATCTGTGAACATGAAGTATTTTTCCGTTGCATGATCTCCTTTTCTATTTTTTCAATAGTGACTTTAAATTCTCAATGTATATGCCTTTTACATCCTTTGTTAATTTTTAGTTGACATTATTTTATGGAATCTTTTATTATTTATCTCTTCTACTTTGTTATTTTCATATAGAAATGCAATGGATTTTTGCGTATTTATTTGTAGTCTGCCTCTTTTGTATTTCAGCTAAGCACAGCGGGTAGGGCATTTGCCTTGCACGCGGTCGACCTGGTTAGCCCAGGTTTGATTCCTCCAGCCCTCTCGGAGAGCCTGGCAAGCTACCTGCGACGTATTCGATATGCCAAACACAGTAACAACAAGTTTCACAATGGAGATGTTACTGGGCCTGCTCGAGTCAATTGATGAACAATGGTAGGACAGTGCTACAATGCTTTATAAAAAAATTGGTGGAGAAGCTGGTACAACAATACAGTCAATAAGGTACTTGTGTTGCATGCAGCTAAGCAGAGTTAATTCAGTTCCTGGCACCTCATATGGTCCACTGAGCACCACCAGAAGTGATCCCTTAATGCAGAACCAGGTGTAAAGTAAACACAGCACAGCTAGGTGTGCCCCCACCAAAAAAAAAAAAAAAACTTTTTAAATTACAAAACAAGGCTGTAACTTTAGGCATTCACACGTTTTCATGTGTAAATACTGACAGATTTCTTTTCAAAATGCATGTCTTTTTCTTTGATTGGTATAGCAAGAACTTTCAAAATCTATACTAAATATGGAGAAGGTGAACATCATTACCTTGTGCATGATCTCAGATGAAAGATGTTCAGTTTTTCAATAATGAGTGCTGACGGTGGGTTTGTTGTATATAGCATTGCTATCTTGAGGTACATTCCTCTATCACTTTTTCATTAAGATTTTTTAAAGAATCACAAATAAATGATAAATTTTATTTAAAGCTTTCTCTGTACCTATTGATAGACATTTTTTCTTTATTTATTTTTTTCCCCCAGCTGTGCTCAATGCTTATTCCTGCGTCTGCTCAGGGATCACTCCTAACAGGAATCAGCAGACTTTATACAGTGCAGGAATAAAACCTGAATCACCTTAGCCAGGTGATTAAGACAGGTATTACCTGTCTACCCCAATATGATAAGGTTTTAAACTTTCCTTTCATTGACATGACATTGACATGATTTCATAAACTGGCTTGTGTACAGTGAATCATCACTGAATTCCTGGAATAAATCACTTAATCAGACTATGAACCTTTTGATATACTGTTGGATATAGTCTGCTTAGATTTTATTAAAGACATTTGCATCCTTGTTTATTAAGAATATTGGCCTGTATTTCCTCTCTTTTTAGCAATGTTTCTGTCTTTTCTTGCATTAGGGTAAAGTTTACTTCATAGAAGCTATTAGGAAAGATTGTATTTCTTCAATATTTTCGAAGAACCTGAAAAGTATAGGTAGAACTTGAAGGTTCAGTAGAACTCACTAGTAAGCCAGTGCCAGTGATGAACTACATTTTTGCTATTGGAGAGCTTCTTAATTTTATCCCAGTTTTCTTTTTAAAATTGATAGACATTTGTAAATTATGAAGTTACAAAAAAATCCATGATTGAATTTCAGGCATATAATTTTCAATACCAATCCCTTTAGCAGTGCCCACTTGTTTCGATCTTTTTATTTTTTTCATTTTTTATAATTTTATTTATGGAATCACCATGAAAGCAGTTACACAGCTTTCAAGTTTAAGTCTCGGTCATACAATGTAATACCCATACCTACTCCAGTGTCCATTCTCCACCACCAAAAACCCCAGTACACCCCCATCCTTCACCCTCCCTCTACCTGTGGGGCAGATGATTTCCACATTACCCTCTCTCTACTTTGATTATACTCAATATTTTGACACCAGACCCACCATTATTATTTGGTATTTTACCCCAACACTCAGATCTACTGAAAAGGCAACAGTAGACAATTTGTTTTCCATTGCTGGTTATGAATAACATATGATGTTGCGTGGCTGCAGTAGTGGCCACGCAATTTTGAAATTTGGAAACCTTAACAATTAAATCTGGAGGGATTTCTGCTAAAACCTGCTGGGTTCAGAGATTTGTTCCTGAGTCTCTTGTATCATGACCGTTAAGCAGCTTGATCAGGAGCCAGAAAGGCCATTCGTGGGCGGCAACTCAGGGTCTTGTTGGGACGGAGAGGAAAGAGCCGGCTCCACCCTCATCCCATGAGGCCCTGTGTGTCTCGTCACTGCGGGCCCAAACCTGACTGTCCAATGGTCTCTGGCAGATGGCGGCCACCGAGCCGCCAAGGGGAAGCAGATGGAGGGACAGCACCCTTTTCCCCCTGGGGTGGCCCAGCGACAGGAACCTACTGCGCAGTTTGGACACATTTCTGCCAAAAGCCGCTGGGTTTCAAGATTTGTTTTGAGTCTCTTAGAGTTCCAATTTTCTTAATCATGGTTAGACTACTCATGTTTTTTGTTTTGTTTTGTTTTGTTGTTTGGTGGCCACACCCAGTGCTAGGGCTTACTCCTCGTTCTGTGTTTAGGAATCACTCCTAGTAGAAGACCATAAGGGGTGCTGGGAATTTAACCTGGGTCAGTTGCATGTAAGACAAATGCCCTATATTGCTTTGTTCTGTATTCAGGTTTTCTACTTTGTTCTGATACACTTTGGGGGACACATATGTTTCTAAAACACATCTAATTCTTCTGGGTATTTCAGCTTTGTGGCATAATGTCATTCATAGGAAGCTCTTGATTGTATTTCTGAAGTATCCTGTAATTTTTCTTCTTTCATATATCATCTGATTTGAGGCTTATTTCCTTGGGGTCTAGCTAGTAATTTGTCAATCTTACTTACTGACAAACCAGCTACTAGTTTTATTTATGCTCTGTTTTCCTTTTACTAGGCTGGAGCAATAGCACAGCGGTAGGGCATTTGCCTTGAGCGCAGCCAGCCCAGGCGAGCCGGGTTCGATTCCTCTGCCACTCTTGGAGAGCCCGGCAAGCTACTGAGAATATCTCGCCCACACGGCAAAGCCTGGCAAGCTACCCATGACATATTCAATATGCCAAACACAGTAACAACAAGTCTCATGATGGAGACGTTACTGGACCCGCAACGGGAGGGCAGTGACAGTGACAGTGACAGTTCCTTTTACTATGTCACTGATTTCTGCTCTATTTTTAAAAATCATTTTCATCTATTTACTGTGGGATTTATTCACTGCTTTTTGCTAAGTTCTCAAGCTTGAGGTTATTTTTATGTGTTTTCTTGTTTCTTGGTGCAAGCTTATATTGTTTGTTTGTATGTTCTTTAATTGTGCTCATCATTTTGTTTTTGAAAAATGCTGTTTTCCAGCATGGTATTGGGCTAGAAACAGACCTGCAGACCAATGTAACAGGGTTGAATATTGTCACAGACCCCCAAATATATGGCCACTTAATTTTTG